GTTGGGGCTACTGGGTCAGGGGCAGGGACTGCTGGCTCTGGCCTGGCAGGCTTGGAACAGGCACAGGCACTGTGGCCAAAGTCTACCACTTTAAGGGCTCCAGGGAGGGAGAGAAGTGTTCTTAGTTGACACTAAAGTGGCCACCAGGGCACCCTGGGAAGGCTGAAGGCCCCCTATTTTGAAATAAGTGTCTATGCAGCACTTATTTCAAATAGCTATTTTGAATTTGGTGTTATTCCTTGTAGAATGAGGTTTACCAAATCTGAAATAAGCGCTCCGCTATTTCGAAATAAATTTGAAATAGCAGTTTGGCTGTCTAGACAGTAGGAAAGTTATTTCGAAATAAGGGCTGTTATTTCGAAATTACTTAGGCTATGTCTATACAGCAAAGTTATATGGGGATGTGAAGGTTTAATCAGTTAACTGGTAAGGTTGAAGGAGCCCCTGCCTGCAGTGCACTGGACCTCTGTTGAAGCAGCCTCCATCCACATGAAGTGATGGCAGGCCAGGGCGCTCCACAAACTGGGGCTGCTCTCACTGAACAGCTGGGGCGGGGGAGGCCACAGGCAGGGGTTGCTCTGGCTGGGCTGAAATAGCTCCTGCCTCTGTTGTGGGGTGCACGGGTGGAAAAGAACATTGCAGCTCAGCAGCAGGCAGGCCACTCCAGCCCCACCTTCAAACTTGTCCCCCTTTACTCAGTTAACATTGTTTTACATCCCTACTATTTACTTCATACACTCAACAGCAATCCATGTGCAATTTTACTATTTCCCCCATGGGCCCAAAACCTGAGCATGGCCTGGAGTCATCAGCCTACCTAGAAATAAGTAGGAAAGATAATGTTTTAAAATCTAATATATAAAGGAGAATGTTTATAAGTTTGTGCGCTAATAACTTGGACACACTAAGAGCTGCCACAACCAGACTTTGCATGGGATAACCTTTCCTCCAGGAGAAGGTTTTAAGGTACTTTTGGATATGATCGGGCCTGAGCTCAAGCTGTAAAAATCAAAATGTAACCCACCACGCTGCGCTTCAGGGGACGCCCCGCCCACCCTACGTCCTGTGCCCGCCACCTGTGGCCCCCAGTGCCATCCAGGACTCGCCCGCTCCTGCGAGGTTACATAAGCGATCCTCTTCCTCTCCCTTCCCCCCGCGCCAGCACACAGTGCCCTGGCCCCCACGCGCACACCTGCAGCCCCTGGCGCGAGTCCGGGCGCCCCTCCCGCATGTAACCACCCCTCCACCCGGGGTTGCACCCCCTCCGGGAATGACGCAGACCTATATTTTAAGCCCTATACAAATCAGTGCAACTTTTCTACCATTCCAAAAAAAAAAAAAAAAAAATAAAAAAATAAATAATGGACTACTGTTTTTCTACATTTTGTTCCTCCGGCTTCCCGAGCAACGCTGAGTAACTCCAGCTAATTTAGTATAATGGGACTGTAAAGCCCCCAAAAATTGTTGACACGGTTCAGGAGAATATAAACTACTTGGAGATATTCCATTCATTTTAGATAAACAGAAAACCAGCAGCTTTGCAGAGCATGGAGGGCAATGAATCACCCTATCACGCTTAACGCGGAGGTGGGGTGAGAGGGCAGGTGGTGGGAGATGTCTCTACAGGCCAGCCACAGCAGGGTACGGGACCTGTAGCAACCGTTCCATTCCTTCCCTATTCCAGTCCATCACCATTGCATCCCTTGCTCAAAGCCCCTTCCCCCAAGAGTCATAATCTGAGGGATTACAGAGAGAGGGAGGCCTGGCACAGGGTGACAGCAGGGATCGACCCATCCTGCACTGTGGTAGCAGAAACCACCAGAAGTGGAACATCCCAGCAGCCTGCTCTGCTCTGCCACCATCTTCCAACTAGGTCACTCTGCTTCACCACAGCGTCGGGAAATTTAATGCCCCTGCCAGCTGTGCTACCCCAAGGCCTGTGCTGCTCGAGGGAGCTGAGTACAATGGGCTGGGTTGCTCTGCTTCCCACAACTGCAGTGGAAAAACAGCAACCTGGCTGGTAGATGCTAGAGTAGAGCACGCTGCTATGTCACTCCACTTTCCATAACTCCAGCCTACTAAATCTAGGGTTGTGAGTTCAATCCTTGAGTGGGCTATTTAGGGATCTGGGGCAAATCTGTCAGAGATGGTACTTGGTCCTGCCATGAGGGCAGGGGACTAGTTTCAATGACCTCTCAAGGTCCCTTCTAGTTCTATGAGATAGGTATATCTCTATATATTACATGGAAATATGTTACAGTAACATTAAAGATCTCATAAAAACCAGGAAGACATCGTCCTTTTAATGCTTGTTTTGGGGACAGGGAAAGCACAGACAAGGGCAAGTCTTCTGGTTAGTCAAACATAGATATATAATTTTTTATTTAAGACATTTGCAAACTGAGAACTGGATTGATTTTTTTTGGAAGGTATCAAGGCATATGTACAGCCCTCATAGCTGCATTATCTGTGTATCACACAGCCATTTATGGATTTTTATCCTCTCAGCATCCCTGTAAGGTAGGAAGTAGTAAACTTTCTAATGTACAGATGGGGAACGGAAATGGAGGGTATAGAAAGTGACTAGCCCAGGGTTACACTATCGCTGAGCTGGGAATTGGACACAGGTCTCTTCAGTCCCAGTCCAATCCTTTATCCACAAGATCATGCTATGTGGAAGAATTCCTTTCCCTCATATAACTATGTGAGGGGCTGAGGGCATGAGGTTCTAGTGTTTTATAGGCTCAGATCTATGGTCTGGGGAAGGGGGAGTGCAGGAGTGGTTGTGACCAGATGGGGGCTTGGCCCCAATTGGGGGTTTGTTGGCCAGGCTTCATTTTTAAATAGAATATTATGTTAAACACAAAAAGTTTCTGCATTGTCTTTATTTATGAGAATAGCAAGGAACCTGCCTTGAGTCAGGGGTCACTGACCCATAGAAAAGTCATTTGGGAGCAGGGGACACAGTACTGGGGAGGAGTGCTAGTGG